GTCAATGTGTAATGTAAACTATACGATTTATATGACTTCTAGAATAAAATGAATTATGTGGATAAAACTTTAAAGAAATATGATTGTTTATAATTGGGCATTGGAAGTAGTCTGATTAAGTCAAAAATACTGACTATAAATCTTTTAAATAATAAAATACAATTATCCGTATATGGTTGTGGAGATTGCTGAGTTTAGATTGATATCATGAATCGACCAATGTTAGACCACCATTGAAAACCTGGAAGCAAAAAGACTGCCATTTCGTTCTAGTATGGGACTCCCCATGAGTATGCATCCACGATCCCATTAATCAAGGCACATGAATTACTTACACTGGCCTAGCAAATCAGTATGACTCAATCAAATAGTTCATTATTTAGATCTAAAACGTTTTTCTAACAATTTTGACTTTTCGCTCTCGCTTGTAAATCCCATCACGATCGAATAGTTATTCAAAAACACTGAGAATCAAATACTTGTGGTCAATCATCTTCAATGATGAAACCTCGTTATTATTTAACAAACTACATCGAATCATTAATGCTCATAGCTGACCGTCTAGAAGGTATCAGTAGTTTAACAAGCACACATATGGATCCGTCAATCAATATGTATAGAATTCGTCGACCAAAAAGAACAGATGTATCAGGCCATTTACCATTATCGACTAAATTGCTCTACACAATGACTGGTGTCACTTCCTATTAAAAATAGTGTTTATACTCTATATACAAAAAATACACAATATTTGACAAGACGTTGATAATTTTAATTGCATCCATTCAAACAATAGTGGTAGGACGGTAGTCCTATTTGTTTCACGAAATCGTTCTTCTTTAAAGTTCGTATATACAGCCAAGTTTGTGAAATCTACAATCGAATTATAGAACTTTGAATTTGATTTTTTTCAAAAATATTATAAATTGGTTTAGTCACGTAAATACTTCGAATGTCATTAATAGTATGAATAGATATCGTGAGTTATTTGACGTTATACATAGACAACATTTGATTTAATCTCAGTGGTTTAGAAATTAAGCGTCTCTGAGTGAGACCAAAGGTCTAGTGTTTAATCTCTTATGGGGTCGTGGATACGCACTGGTGAAAAGTCTTGTACTAAACTGAAAGGGTTCTCCAGTACTTTAAGGTTTTCAGTGAATCCTTAACTTAGATCTGGTTGTGCTCAGTGGTCTATCGGTTAAGGGCTCTGGCTCGAGATTGGTAGGTCCTAGGTTCGAATCTTACGAGAGCGGGATAGTGGATGCGCACTGCTCAGGAGTCCCATAATAGGACAAAATGACCTTCTAGTGCTTCCAGGTTTTCCATGTTGGTCTAGCTTCAATTGACTTATGACTTCAACTTTGAAAAATACTGAAATCTCCACTAATCCCCTTCTGATTATTCCGTTTATATTGATTTCTACGAAATTTAAAATAATCATTTTTTTTCATTTTATTTTATATTTAGTCGACCAGATGCTTCATTCATGAAATTCCTTGGACCATTGAATACACTTCGTTACTTAGTCAAATATCGTTTAAAATGGATATTGATCAAAATCTTAGTTATATTCTTGGTCTGTTTAATTGTTTTCTTATTTCTTTATAGTTTCCCTGGTGCCATTGTTCAAAAAATGGTTAATGGTTAATCACACATGCACACATACACACACACAAATACATACATACATCCCTTATTTAGGTATTAATGGTATGTACCCTAAATGAGACAAACAATATACAAACATTATGCAGTAAATGACTATTATAATAGGTTACCATTATAAATATACATATAGATATGTATAAAATGTAACGTTGCGTTTTAGATGGAATCCGAGTGATGAATCTTAGCAGCCTCACATGATGAATGAAATTGACTAATAACAGTAATGATAGATGAATGAATGTAATTTTAATACTTCACCAATTTATCTACTTACAAAAATTTGCATGATTCATGTTTATTTTGTTGAAAATTTGTGTATTTTGTGTAGAATTTTAACTATTTATAGTAACTTAGTTACTCTTTACTTCACTCAATCAGTTAACCACAACGTAGAACTTCGTACGTACGTACATCAGTTCGAGTTACCATACCACATTGGCACAGAGATGAAGTTGTCCATTCAAATCCCATAGTCGTAGAAGTAGTAAGAGTATAAATAGTAATCCGAAAGATTAGAGTTTGAAGATGTTATTCAAGGAGTATAATCCAGTGAAATCAATTTGGCAAGAGAAAAAAGATAGAGATATGTAGAATTCAGAAGATTAGAATTCGGAGGAACACAAAGAGTGAATGCACCTCCGCCATTGCAAACGATTTTGAGCCATGTCATTCAGGGTCTCTAACCATCGATTGCTATGATCTCGCGAATTCCAACCAGATAGTCTACACCTACAAGCATGGCTCAGTGACTTCATGGATTTGTGCGACGTTTTGGTCTAACGTACTTTTTACTTACGCCTGTATAGGCCGACCATCAGTATTCTCCATCCAAATCTGTCCACGAGAATACATTCCAGTCGCTATTCATCCTTTCCATATGTGCTTCCAATTTCCAAAGCAGTGTGTTCTTTGGCATTCCTTTTTTCAATTTCCTTTCACAATTTCAAGTTAGTGATTGCCTCGTGATGCACTTTGATGGTTTCCACAATGTATGTCCTATACGCCTCCAAAAGTTTTTTCCTAATTTCCTCCTCAGTTGGAAGTTAGTTTCATCCCTCCCACAGTAAGACATTGATTATGGTATCCGGTCAACAACGGACAATGATTATCTTGTGTATATAATTGTTTATAAATATTTGTACCTTTTTGATGTTGGTTGTGGTAGTTCTCGAAATTTCAGCTCAGTACAGTAGAACTGTCTTGACATTCGTATTGAAGATTGTGACTTTGATATTGGTTGACAGACAGTTGTCTTGAGTTCCATATTATTGTTCAACTGTAGGAATGCTGTCCTTGCATTGCCAATCCTAACCTTTACGTCTGCATCCGATCCTCCACGTTCATCGATGATGTAGCTGTCCAGGTACATGAACGTTTCCACTTGTTCCAGAGTATCTCCATCGAGTGTGATTGGGTTGGTTTTCTCTTTGTCGAATTTGATGATGTTGCTTTTACCTTTGTGTACGTTGAGGCCTCTCGCTGCAGAAGCTGCTGCTAAACTGTTTCTTTTGACCTGAATTCGTTAGTGTGTGTGTGTGGGATAGATGATCCTAGGTGATCCGCGAAGTCCGAATTTTTTAGTTGCATTTAACTCGTTGATTGTATTCCCATAGGAAAAAACTTTTCTAAAAAAACTACGCTGACCAGAATAAACAATTTAGACGATTTTTATTTTCAAGTAGAGGGCAATCTTGAAAAAGAGCCATTCTATAATCTTTTGAATACAATCAGTCGATTCAGTTTACCCGGTAATTAATTATATGTCTAGTCACAATCTCCTCTTCAATTACTTTTAATACTATGAATAGAAATCACTTCAGGAATGATTAAAAGTTGAGGAGCACTGTATAGAAGGTAGTTCAACATCTTGTAGATCATTGAACCAGTTTATCAGTCAAGCGCAACGTAGAACTTGGTACGTGTATACATCGGTTCAAGTTGCCATACTCCATTAGTACAGCGAGATGAAATCATTAAAGTAAAACCCTAGAGTGGTAGATGTAGTAACAATATGGGTGGTAGGATTAGCCATCGAAGATGCTATTAAAGGAGGAAACATAAATTAGCTACATAAAAAGGAAATCATGAAGAATTTACAATTGCACTCAAATGTTTCCCATTACGAAACCCAATTAATTAGCGATACTCAAATCCACCTTTAATGACAGGTAATTTAACTGCCATATTCATGACAAGTATGTTTATATCAAGTTCGGCTTAACATTACAGAAAAAAAGTCATCCACAAATCAACTACCATAAGTTGACACATTCATTTAACAAAAATGTTCCACAACATAATAAAAATAGGATTATTGGGTATTTCTAACATTAGCTCTTCCAAAATGGACATTGATATGAGAGATGAACAAAAATAAAACTAGTAATTGTATTTAAACTTCAAGTTTATGGACCAACGTTTTATTTATGATCTCGAACATCAGAATTACTGAGCTAGTGAATGCTACATTGGTTAATCAAAAACATATGCACCTCTTTCCCGCAAACGCCCTGGTACGGCCGAGAGTGGGGAGAGTCCACTCTACCTCTCCAAATGCTCTCACATGGTCACGCGTATATAGCCTCTACCAGGGAAGTCCTACTCACTGCCTTCTCGCACCAGGGGTGTTGTTCACGAAAGTGAGAGGACGAAAACCGAATGTCTGGCGCTTTAAACGGGTTGGTGGATGTGAAGTGTCCATCTAGGGGAGTTGAAAAACCCTGATTCCAGACCAATGGTGCACATGGGCTCCAGTATCCTGAAGGAACAGATGGCGTATGAATCAATTGTTGGTCACCGGCTACCATGGAACTGCATCTCCTCACGATGCTCCATTGCCTTGTGGATTAGACCTTTAGGTTAAAGGCTCCGGGTGTGGCTACCTAAGAAAAGCACCTGGTTCAGTTTGGGCACCTAGGCAGTATCTCAGCCCTCACACAAATCAAAAGAGATTTGTGTGACGCATATGTATCTGGTGCTTCCTTGTACCAATATTTATGTGTTTAAATAAATAAATATGCACCTCTTCCCTGTTTACTATTAAGAAAACAAGATGAATCTATAATTTTTATATATTCATAATAGAAAGGTTTTTACTAATCAATCAAACAAAATGCATCCAAAATGGAATCAGTAAGAAATAATTATTACTGTCTGTCTTTTTTTTATATTAAAGAACACCCAACAAGGAATCGTCCTGATAAAGGAAAATGAAAAATAAGTCTTTAGAAGTTTATGACTGTACTCCTTTTCTCATTGCAAAATAAGATCAATGATTTGGTACATGCTAACTAGACTAATGAATGAATTACATTATACATTGTACTTTATTATATAAGTTGAACAGGGAATTCAACGCAAACTATATCTTCATTTGAACTATCTTGTAATTCCCATCTGATGGTTAAAGAAATCTGAAAAGAAGAGAAAAACTTATGATCATTAAATTCATATTTATTAGTTGATATCATTAGAAATGTAAACTATATATTTTTACTAGGTACGAACAAATCAACGAAGCTATATATTCGGATACCCAATAAGTCTATAATACCACTACTTATGTTTTTTAATCAAATATATGATTGAATGATATACAACTCAGTCAGTCAGTCACAACGTAGAACTTCGTACGTACGTACATCAGTTCGAGTTACCATACCACATAAGCACAGACATGCAGTTGTTAACTCAAATGTAATGCAGTTTTTAGGAAACGAGTACTATGCAAGGATGGCAAATCGATTGATAAAGTAGTGAAACTTCATCAATTGAGATGGCTGGGACACGTGTTACGTATGCCCAACCACCAACTGCCCGACGTGAAATGCTTTATGGTGTAGGAGTAGGTTGCAAGAAAGCTAGGGGCGGCCAGACCAAAACGTCGCACAAATTCATGAAGTCGCTGACAAGTGGACTGAGCCATGCTGGCAGGTGTAAACTACCTGGCTGAGATGCGCGAGATGATAGCAATAGATAGTTAGAGACCTTGAATGACATGGCTCAAAATCGTTTGCAATGGTGGAGGTGCATCCATTCTTTGTGTTCTACCAAATTCTAATCTTCTGAATTCTACATATCTCTATCTTTTTTCTCTCGCCAAATTTATTTCACTGGATTATACTCCTTGAATAACATATTCAACCCCTAATCTTTCGGATTACTGTTTATACTCTTACTACTTCTACCACTACGGGATTTGAGTTAACAACTGCATGTCTGTGCTTATGTGATATGGCAACTCGAACTGATGTACGTACGTACGTACGAGGTTCTACGTTGTGACTGACTGACTGACTTTTTACACATAGATTTCCTCTTATCAATAAAATTTTCTTTAATTAACCTTTGAAGGGTCGATCTATCAGAGGGTTTGTTTACCAATTTAGAATGCATGAGTGACATAGTCTTATTCGCTGAAAATGCTGACGAAATCCATTTTTTGAAGCCTTGAGCAACAATACTAACATGTTTGGAGTGCATTTCGTTCCCTCATAATCCAAGATGTTGCTTTAGTAATGACCTAAGTCAACGCTTGAATCAGTGATAAGAAATGAAGTAGTTAAATTTCGATCACTTCACGTATATTATAATTTTCATCAGCCCCTGGTGGGTCAGTGTCTGATGAAATGTCGATACAGATTCAGAAAGTTCTGTTGGTGTTTGGGTTACTTGCGGCGCAGGCAAAATGTCTATCTATCAACCAACGGGTACAATGACCAGAGATCCGCTATTTCCTATCTGATAACTGTGAAACATGCTCTATGAAAGTAGAGGAAATATGTAGGCTCAAATTTTTTGGTCGCAGGTGTCTTCGAAGCATTGTCTACTTTTTTGTGGAATGATCAAGTGACCAATGTTGATGTTAGATATAAGGTACATGCCATAGGTGTCGAATAGGTTGATAACGTAGTTAATTTCCATCGACTGATGTGGTTCGGACACGTATCACGTAAACTTAACCACTGCGTATCTCGACGAGCATTTATTGCCAGTGCACTATGTTGACGATGTTTGAGATTTCCTCTTAAAAAAGATATTTGTAAAGGAAACAGTCTGAAAAAGTGTTGAGACAAAAAGCTGCATGCATAAAATTCGAAGACAATTCACATCAGTATATTAACTGGTGTACAAACTGTAAGGATGCGAAAGTAAAGCGTTTTCTACGGATAACTAGCTTCTCCCGAAATGCCGTCTTTTCAAAAAATATTAGGAAGGAAGGTATGAATAGTTGTCTCTAGAAATACCATACTCTCTATTGGTTTATGCATTTCATATGCAGGGGGTTTGAAAAGCACATGAATGATTATGATAAAGTAACTACTAAAATACGCTGTATATGACGGGACTCCAGTAACTGTTCCTTGATATCTATGGTCACGCTATCGGGTCAAAATGACTATCAGAACCGACCCAGTTTTCCATTTTGCGTTCGTTAAGAACAAACATTTATCTATGGTGTTGGTGACTGGGATGTATGAACCACCACTACGATTTAAACCTCCTCAACAAAGTGAAATAGGTGAGACGGTTATCAAAACTATGGTCAAGTGGCTCAAACAACTAACCCACCATCCCACTGTGTGTAGTTTATAATGCCAGTAAACAAATTCCTCGATAACGCTATATGCCTTTATCAACCAAGAATTTAATGTATTACGAATAGTGAATCCTTAACTAATTTCAATGGGTATACGCGGATAAAACACTGTCCTTAAATACATGTATATATGATGCAAATTAAACGATAAATTTGATTAAACTTACTGATGGATACATTGCCTTAACATACAAAGAATACGTGTGTGTATATTTTCCTATAGATGGAATTAAAGGGCATGTTGGGCTGACGAATTCGCATAAATTTGAGTTGTCAAGTGCAAATGGTATTGGTACATGTGCAATAACTCCATGTACAGAAATATGACCATCTTTTACAGCCTCTTCTGTAATCAAAAGGGAAATAATAGTATAGTACAAAAGTAGTAAGCTTGAATGGTTTTACTTTGGATGTATTATGACTAGATAAATCATTGAAATAACTCCACCTGTAACTCATACAGTGTTACTGCCGGTCCATTACGTCAATAAATTGCATAACCTATTCAGGTGCGTACAAGTTACAAAAATGTACAATCAGAGACAGTGATTTCTCGTAATACCCATTGAAAACAATGAATATTATTAAGATGTCGACTTTTGAAATACTAATATATAACCGGCGATCACCCAATATTTATCGTCAAGAAACGGAAACTCCCGGAAATATCATGTGTTGAGAATCTTATATGGTACCAAAAATATAACATTGAATGAAACAAATAATAGATAAGTAAATAATCAATAAATGAATAAACAATTTAAACCATTTAGACTATGTCCTCCGACTTTTAAGACCTTAAATTACAAACGTTATGATGCCTCATGATGAAAGCGGAGATTCTTTTGACGTCATGAGGTCAATGCCCCATCTAACAACCAGAGAAACGATTCTTATAGATACATGTAATGTCTGGACAGTGTGAGAGACCAGGAGGACTAATCAAATAGCTACCGAAATGGGGAGATACAACTTGGTAGTACTTGGAATCAGCGAAACCCATTGAATCCAATCTGGAAAGCGAAGGCTAAGTACGAGAGAGATTCTGCTGTACTCCGGTCACGAAGAGGAAAATGCTTCGCACACTCAGGGAGTCGCTCTAATGCTGTCCAGAAAATCACGAAATGCACTTGTAGGATGGGAATCTCATGGATCCAAAGCGTCATTCTAAACAAAGGAGGAGGGGATCACAATGAGTGTTATCCAATGTTATGCACTCAAAAATGATAGCAACGACGACGATAAAGATCAATTCTATGAGGAGCAATAGGCGACCATAGCGAAGTGCCCAGGAAAGAACCTAAAAATCCTGATAGATCTAAACGCCAAAGTCGGAGTGGACTATACAGGATATGAAGATATCATGGGATGACATGGACTGACTGGGAGAAAGGAACGAGAATGAGGAAAGATTTGCAAAACTATATGCATTCAACAAATTGGTTATAAGCGGCACAATATTCCCCTGCAAACGCATACACAAAGCTACATGCATGTCACCTGACCACACCACAAAGAACCAGATAGATCATATTTAGAACAACAAAAAATTCCGAAGGACAATAGATGTGTGAATCAAGAGAGGAGCTGACATATCTTCAGATCACCACCAATTAGTAGCTGTCAAGATGAAACTGAAGCTAAAGAAACACTGGACAACTGGCGGAACAGCACTACAAAGGTTAAATACAGCCCTCTTTCGAGATGCTGACAAACTCAACGAATACAAGACAGCCCTCAACAGGTTACAAGCTTTACAGGATCTACTGAAAGAACAAAAAACTACGTTGGTGGACAACTGGAAAGCGATCAAAGAAGCACTATCTTCAACGTGTCAGGAAGTTCTGGGTCGCAAGAAGTATCAAATTAAGGAGTGGATCTCCATGGGAACTCCGGACAAGATTGAAGAAAGGACGAACACAAAGACAGAAATCAACAACAGTTGAACACGAGCATAGAAAGTCAGTGCACAAGCGGACTACGCAGAAGCAAACAAGCAAGTGAAGAAGAGCATTAAAGGGGACAAGCTGAAATACATGGGCGAATTAGCAACGAAAGCGGGAAAAGTTGCAAGAGAAGAGAACATGAAACAAGTATATGACGCAACGAAGAAACAGGGAAATATAGTAAACCAGATATACCAGTCAAGGAGAAAGAAAACAAGACAATCACGGAGATTCAAGAACAGAAAAGAAGATGGGCAAAACACTTTGAGGAACTCTTAAATGGAACAGACTCATTAAATCCACCGGAAATCGAAGCAGCACACACAAACCTTCCTATAGACGTCATTCCACTAACAATCGAAGAGATCAGAACGGTCCAGTCATCAGACAAATCAAGAGTGGGGAAGTGGCAAGACCTAACAATATACCAGTTGAAGCCCTGAATGTCAGACATTGAATTAACTGCAAACATGCTTCACTTTCTATTCAAGAAGATTCGGAAAGAAGAACAAGAGCTGATAGGCCGAAAAAGAGGATACCTCATCAAGATAAAAGGGATGAAGATCTAAGTAAGTGTGAGAATTACAGATACATCACGATACTATCAGTAACAGGGAAACTTTCAACAATATTGTTGAATCGAATGAAGGATTCAGTAGACGCCCAACTTCAAGATCAACAGGTTGCATTCCGTAAGGATCAGTTATGCACAGACCAAGTCGCGACACTACAGATCATCGTTGAACAATCTATTGAATGTAACTCGTCACTATACATCAACTCCATCGATTATGAGAAAGCATTTGACGGTGTGGATAGATCATGGAACCTTATTCGAACCTTTGGAATACCTGAGAAGGTAGGTAGTCAACATCATCCGGAATTCATACGACGGACTACAACTCACAGATGCATTCCAGGTAAAAAACCGGGGTCAGACAGGGTTGCTTACTCTCTCTTTTCTGGTGGTTGACTGAATTGTGAAGACCTCGATATCCCAGGGGAATACGAAATAAAATTGAAAGGTCGGATGCAACTAGACAACTTCGACTTCTCAGATCACCTAACTCTTCTATTCAACACACATACACCAACTAATGCAGGTCAAAACAAACAGTTTAGCAGCAGCCTCTGCAGCGAGAGGCCTCAACGTGCACAGAGGTAAAAGCAACATCATCAAATTCGACAAAGAGAAAACCAACCCAATCACACTCGATGGAGATACTCTGGAACAAGTGGAAACGTTCATGTACCTGGACAGCTGCATCATCGATGAACGTGGAGGATCGGATGCAGACGTAAAGGTTAGGATTGGCAATGCAAGGACAGCATTCCTACAGTTGAACAATAATATGGAACTCAAGACAACTGTCTGTCAACCAATATCAAAGTCACAATCTTCAATACGAATGTCAAGACAGTTCTACTGTACTGAGCTGAAATTTCGAGAACTACCACAACCAACATCAAAAAGGTACAAATATTTATAAACAATTATATACACAAGATAATCATTGTCCGTTGTTGACCGGATACCATCATCAATGTCTTACTGTGGGAGGGATGAAACTAACTTCCAACTGAGGAGGAAATTAGGAAAAAACTTTTGGAGGCGTATAGGACATACATTGTGGAAACCATCAAAGTGCATCACGAGGCAATCACTAACTTGAAATTGTGAAAGGAAATTGAAAAAAGGAATGCCAAAGAACACACTGCTTTGGAAATTGGAAGCACATATGGAAAGGATGAATAGCGACTGGGAAGGATTGTCGACGACAGATTTGGATGGAGAATACTGATGTTTGGCCTATACTCCTCCATAAAGGGTAACAAGCGTAATTACTTAAGTAAATCAATAAATTAGCGATAAAAGTGATTTAATTACAACTTTAAACTCAAAACGCCTTAAATAGCAGTCGGACCCATCAGTATTACCGTTTGTTTTTAGTGATATTAACTTTCATTACTAACCATTCATTACTTAATATTAGACAAATTTTGCGGTAGGACGTTTTGTATATAAATAACAAAGAATTCTCGGAATTTTAGGGAATCAAAAGACTTATCGTAATGATATAAAATGAATTTGTTTATCAATCTGTGAAGTGGATAATTTATATTCTTCATTTGCAACTGCCATGATTAGTATGAGGAAAGTAATTTTTAAGATTGAACTGTGATACCGGTATGTCATGTTGTGTTATTTGATTGTTTTAGTTATCCATACATGATAGTAATTCACTTATTTTCATATCATCTAGACATTTTTAAGCATTTATTACCCAAAGCAGTAATTGAGAATACAAGTGGTGGGTGTCAATTTTGTTAGTCGAGTAAAAGTAATTCCGATATGATCCCTGTAGTGTTGTGCTGTTATTTATCTTTTTTTTATAAAAAAAAAACCACGAGCTAAGAATGTTGTAGATCTACATATTATGGTAGGATTCATGAATCTACGTACATCATTTTTCTCACACTATATCCTACACAAATCTTTTATCTACTTTCTCTTAACACTCAGAAAATGTTAGCTTCCTTTCAAGGGATTAGTGATTTAAATGTGTTCACTGAAGTGACGAGTAAGTGGTACAGCTCGAATATACATAAAATATACATCAGTCCCTGGTGTGGTCGTGAATAAGAATGACTTACATATTTTCAAGTGCTACAACGCGAACACACTTCACAGTGAATAATTTAAACGTGACTTTTAAACATGATTGACCAATTGTTTAATATAGAGCTATTTTTAAACCTTTGATAATTTTAAAACTAGGACTAGGATGGCTAATATATTATTGGCACTATTGTATTTCTAATCGTTGAAGTTTCATCCTTAACATCAATTGTCATAATCTATGCTTAAATTTAATACGACTATTCATCTAGAGTCGGTATGAACATCCTGTTTTCTTGTTCATACTTTCAGTAGACTTTTAATAACTTCCGTGCATATGCGATGACTCATGTTCAGAAATTGATTTATCCATCCAACCAGTGTTTTAGTTACTAGATCATCATTAGATCTATGTTGTGTACTTTAAAACAATCAACATATTCGTAGTGATATGAAATTGTTGAATGAAAAGCATTAAATATGTAATTGAATAACTTACGGGTACTGAATTCAATTGTAATAGTAGCGTTTTGACCTTTATATAACGCACACGGTGTCCTGTCACATGGTGTTACAGTCAGTGAATATAATTTTCCAAATTTAGATCCTAATACAAAAATAATAAACAATAATGGCAAAATAATCTCAAATTGTCAATAAGTTGGTCATCTCCAATAAATTTGAAAGTGATATTTAGTGAAACAATTGACGAATAAAAATTATTTCAGCGCATATGCTCTGTACTTTACTGACTTTCTCTTAATGTATTTATGATATGCTTTAATCCAATCTATACATTAAGGATATAAATTGTATGACTTTCATGTTAAGAAAGGATAGAGTTCAATTTGTAAGGTAATAGTGTGAATTGTAAATAATATCAGACTAGGTCACCGCGATAGATAGTCCAAGTAGGATGTATGGTAAGGCCTTCTTTTCTATTGAGAGAAGTAAGATTAAACATTATATGGAACGCTTCAGCTACACTTCTTTCTTTGTAATTGGAAAAGCCTCTCTTTAATATTTTGATATTCTCAAAATCGACTTGGTGGACGTCGAAAATAGCGTGAAATTCGAAATTATCAAATCAAAACTTGGTAATGATACTTACATACTCATTAATAACCGGATCAAATTATCTAAGTGTAAATGCAATTGGTACAATCACAGAACGATGTTTACAAGACAACATTATTCCGAAATCTCTTTTTGTAAAACCTCCAGGACGGTCCTGGATATCTATCCAGACTTCTCAACGCTCATCTCGAATATTTTTACGAGAACGCATTCATAAATGCACATATTTACTTGAAAAATATCGTGAACGAATAAAAAACCTAGATGATCTACTGAAGCTTTCAATTCCTACAGAAATACAAACCACAATTTCTAACCTGTTTATAGAAACGGAATGCCATTATTTAGATTCATAAAAACGCCAGCAAATTAAAAAAAATTGAAGAGATCAAAGGAAGAAAGAAAGATAAGAAAAAATCAGCAACAAAATCTAATTCGAATGATCTAAGAATTGTTCATAATCTCTCAGACAGAAACTTAACTAATCATGAAATCACTCTACTGGAGAAAGGATTAAATTTCAATTTACATAGAAAACCACTTGGAACTCTTGAAGTTGCTCCTATTACAGAACCAATAATCGCATAGCTACCGGAAAAACAGTCGCATTCATTACGTCAAAAGACATCCCATATTTTGACTAAACAAAAGCACCTTCCGCCAAACATTTCAAAAGAAGAATTCAAGACTCTGGATTCGCTTCAAATAGACAAAACGATTATAACCACAAAAGCTGACAAAGGCAACACAACAGTGGTCATGAATAAAATAGATTATATTAATAAAACTCTTTAACATCTCTCAATAAGACCATATAAAAAAATTGATCCAAAAAATTCTCTAAAGATTAAAAATAAAGTCGAATCAGAAACAATACAACTTTTGAAAGAGCTACGACCAGTCATTGGTGTCTCGCTTTGGTTTGCTCTGTATCCCAAATCATGTAATAATTCATGGTTTTATGCTTTACCTAAAATTTATAAACCTGATATCCCTCTAAGACTGATAGTAGACTTTACCAATACACCAACATACAATTTATCGAAATATCTAAGCAGCACATTAAAGCCACTACAGCTTAACTTACATCATATAACTAAGGATACATATGACTTTAAATCAAAATTATGGGAATTAATTATCGAGAAGAATGAAGTCATGATAAGCTTTGATGTTATTTCTTTATACACTAGTATTCCTATTGATAAATGCTTAGATCTCGTTAGCCTTAAATCTTTTTAGAAGAGCCAACAAGATCATCACATCAGAAGAGGACAAACAAAAAGAACAAAAGAATGTAATTAGTATTTTACAATTTGATAATTTTTCTATGAAGATTATTAGAAGTATATTAAAACAAGACGGTTCAGTGCGTAATAATAATAATCCGAATAAAATGCCATGGATTAATACTGCAGTTTTACCATATCGTAGTGGCACAACAGAACACCAAAGAATCTTAAAACAACACAGAATTAAAGTAAATTACAAAACAACGAACACACTTCCAAATACTATAGTTCGATTAAAAGAAAAAACTCCATTCATGTCTACACAGAACTGGGTCTACAAATTATATTGTATCGATTGTGATGCCTTCTATATTAGAGAGTCAACTCGCGAAATCTTCACTCGTGCCAAAGAACATATAAGGGTACACAAAGAAACATAATCATTTTGTACAACTGGATAGGCTTCAGATTAAATCTACAATGATAGTTCACGCTATTTTCAACGACCACCAAGTCGATTTTGAGAATATCAAAATATTAAAGAGAGGCTTTTCCAATTACAAAGAAAGAAGTGTAGCTGAAGCGTTCCATATAATGTTTAATCTTACTTCTCTCAATAGAAAAGAAGGCCTTACCACACATCCTACTCGGACTATCTATCGCGGTGACCTAGTCTGATATTATTTACAATTCACACTAATACCTTACAAATTGAACTCTATCCTTTCTTAACATGAAAGTCATACAATTTATATCGTTAACAGTGCACAAATACATACACATAAATTTATATAGATGTCGCTTATGAATCACCTTAACCGAAATGACATGACATTGATTTATTCAGACCTGATTTTTGTTTGGTCACTGAATATTCTTATTGTTCCGTTATACTATTTGAACTTGGATGAATCTTGGTTTGTTTATTTATTCTCCGAAGAAGTGGCTTACACTGCTGAGTTACGAAACATCAGAAAATTCAATTTTTCTACTCAATAGGATATTACAAATATATTATTTATTCAGAACCCGTCGATATTAATAGTAGTTTAATAGTAATTAAACTTATCAACTCTGACGTATAAATATGGTTAGTTAGCATAACGTATACTTACGAACCAATCAAGATAGAGGTGGCTTCACGGTCACAGAAGTCAGAAGTAGGATTTTTTGTACGAAATGATGTCAGCCATAATTTAAGATTTTGATTATCCAATATCGTAGTTGTTAGTTTGAGGATAATACCTAGTTCATTTGTCTTTGGTGATTTCGATGGGCTAGAACTCGTTAAGACCTCATGGTCGTTCGGTAGTATAGTGTAGAGGTTAATCCCTATATATTTAACTACAATAAATAATATCCCTTTAACTGCGTATTTACGGAGGCCAAATCTTCTAGTAGTATTAGGAATTTACTCGAGATTATTCAAAAGCCAGAATACCAGTTCTAAGGATAGTGCATTGTTAATAATTAATGAAATCCGCAAGCAAACAGGGAAGAAAGTGTGTGTTAAAAAACTCATACGTATATATGGATACACACTAATGAGTCCCACAATAAGAAGAAACGTCCGTCCAGTGCTTCCAGGTTTTCCATGGTGGTCTAGCTTCAATTGATTCATGATTTCAACTACATAAAATTACTAAAATCCCCACAAAACCTCCCTTCTGATATATTTATGAATGTTGATCGATTGTGGGTAACTTGTTGATTATATGTGTTGACAACCAATGAGAGAATAGATAAAGATTGAAGCGTTCACACCCACACATAATCTTACATAGATCAAACGTCAAAATTACAACAAGTAGACAGATAACAAAAAGTATTCTATGAGTTTACTGTAATGGTTTATGTTAGTCATCGAATCAAAATGCATTGGCGTTTCTAATTAAATTCGAATGTAGGTTCATGACCTTTAAATAATTAGAATTACTTTTAACATTATTTCGCCCTTAATTGTAATTACGAGATACAATACATCTAAGTATGACCATTGTTTTCTCTCTCACTTGAGTGGAGGTCAATTTGTTGCCACTAGAGTACGCACTGAACAATATTGACATTTTATATTTGGTACAGCAAGTCCGATTACTTATCACAATATATTCTACAGTCCCAACTGTATTTAAACGAATTGATCTAATCACTGTTTATAATTTTCGGCTACGCTATATGCTTGTTAATTGTAAAAGCTTTTCTGGGGAAAAATTAAAGCTATACTTCCATGGTACAAAAAATACAGATCAGTCATATACTTACCACAATCCCTAAATGGTTCAGAATGTACAAAATGTACCAACACCAAGAAAGCAAGCCACAGAACAACCATAGGGTGATCGCTTTTCACGCCCAGCTAAATGACGGATCGTTATTTATCTTACTAGTTTAGAAGGCCACTTTTTTAAAAACCAATCAGAAGGCAGAAACGCCCACGGTACATGAGTTATAAGGCCTGAAAACCAATAAGAAAATGGTTTATTCCATCTACGAAAACATAGTAAGTCACGTGATTGACTTGCATAAATATGATTGGTTACTGTCATATATACTACATCTTCAGCTTGTGTCCTTTGGCATACTGAAATGTGTTAGGCGAGCAACTTAGTCGTACAAAGAATATCACCTGAAAGCTAATTGTACGACCGAAGCTACATAGTTACAGAATAGTCACTATCAGAATACTTTTAGACCGAACAGTGGGGTTCTTAATTCTACAGATTTTTTTTTATAATAATTGGTTATATTTGTATACAAACATAAAAAAACAAATTGCAGCAATTTTTAAGTCACTGATATCAACCAAAAGGACTACTCAAATAATCATTGTAAGTAAGGGGTGACAATCGACAGAAAGACTACAAGTGTAGCAGTAATGACATGGCTAATAAAAGTAAGATGATAAAATGAACTAATATTCATATAATTATAACGAGAAGTATATTAATAATCTCTTTAAATATATAAATAATGAAGGATAAAGAAAAAGGAGATAAAGAAATTAGAAAAGTGGGAAGAATTGAAACGTGATTCGGCTTTCTGGGCGATAGGTTTTCAGTTAGAGTCCTATGTGAATATCAACACGAGTCCAGGAGCACCCAAATGACCAGTTTCAGATAAGATTAAATATGCATCCTGGACTCCACCACCAAACAATAACTAGATCAATATAGAAGCACTTAATCAACTGTGGACGCATATGTTAGTAAGTAACTAACGTAATGCTATAATCACAGATGTTTCAATTATCGGACGTTTTGTAGTTTTATCTACAATATGATGTTTATTGACTAGAAAAATAAAGTGGATAACCGGAGAATGATGTATCATTTGTAAATCTACTGAACAACTAAACATACTTCAAGACCTGTACATTATTCAATGTGCATGAGTATCTTCATGAATGAATTCTAGACAACACTTTCGACTTGACAATCAATAACTCAATTTCACTTCTAATCATAATATTTCAGTTACAACTCTCACTAATTAATGACAGATGAATACTGTTTGAATTGACTTATTCCACTGGATTATGAGTATTATCTTTGCAATAATCCAACCAGTCATCTCTGTTGGAGCGATCCTGAAAATTTCTTGCAATAGACATGACAAACTCAGGAAACATTCAGAAGCATTTTATCCAATCAGCGTTTAACTAGAAGTTTTTCTAGAAACATCACGAAAATGAAAAGTCACATGTCGAGGTTCTGATTGGTTGATTAGCACACTGCTTCTATGTTTAGTAGCATTCCAGAATTTCTAGGAAAACCCAAGAACTTATAAAATACTATAAAAACCCTAAATTTTCTTTACATAAATGAATCTTTGGAGTAAAGTGCTTGTCGCATATTTTGCGCTGTGTAGTTCTAGCTTGGGGGTTACGACATCAGCTTAGGATCCGAGTATAGCGTTCATTTGGCAAGACTTATCAATCTCATTCAGTCTGTGGTTAGTTATTATGTATTTATTATTATATTTTTATGTAATAATAATACAACCGAACTTCTCTATTTCTGATAAACAATAATGATGTAACAATTAAAACATAACACTTCACTAACTGGAATAAAGTTCAGTTATTCTGCTTGAAAAAATGGATCGCAAATTGCTAAATAGCTATTGTCATCATACTGATGAAATAATGTATTGACGTGTAGTAAAAAAAGTAAATTCAGAACTACTTATTATTTATAAGTACCGATAAGCTGATTTAAAAAAGTAAATAATTAAACAGGCGGTTAACTTGACACGTTGCAATAATAACAATCCTATATTTCAACAATTCAAATATTTACATGATGTAATAATTATTAAGATCTTTATAGGGTTGTAGAGATTGTTGAGTTTATATTGATATCAGGAATGGAATAATGTTAGACCACCATTGAAAACCTAGAAGTACTGGATAGCTTCAAGATGGATTTCCTAGTGCGAAGTCGTGACCAGTGGAGTTTAATCGTGTCTTTTGTAAAGCATTTACTCACTGAAGATAGTAGTGGACGGTCGTGCAATATCGTGGATTGGTTGAAGTTAGACATTAAAACCGTTGGATGCCTAATAAACGGTCTAGAGGTCAAACTTTCGCCTGTGAGACCGAAGGTCCAGGGCTTGAGTACTACGAGCGGGATCGTGGACGCGCATTGCTAGGATGGGACGGCTATTAAAATTTAAACATAACCTATGGTACTCCATGTTTCTATTCCAATGTCCAGTTGGGACATAATTACATTTTCCTAATTGTTTGTGCAATGTGATCGTGTTAGTTATTTTTGATTTATTCATCTTTACACATTAATCTGAATTGGAAATTGGGAACCGGTAATGAGGATTAAATCGAGTAGCGTTCCATTTGAATCGCCTTCTCTTTCTTTCGCTTGTCAAACAACTAGGTGATATGTTAGTTTTCGTCTCTCTGCCCGAAGTCGTTAATCTCAATTCGAACTCACGCATTCCTAGCCTCAAGTTCAGGCCAGTTGACCTAGTGTTATGGCCTTAACCTAGATCGAGACGAGTTCTCTCCTGTGTATTATTGGGTAGACAGATCAAGGATGAGAAATCCTCGAGATTTATCTTTTAATAATGCAGTCCAAATATTATCTAAAACTTTCGGAGAACAGTCCTCATTATTCAACGTTCTTCGTCAATGTTTTCGAATACCAAAATATCCATCCAATGATGAAAATCGGGAATGTGGACGACTAAAAATAAATGAAACTACAGTAGATCAATTTATACGTTTGACTGTTATCTTTGGGTTAAAGAACCAAGAAGATGAGGACAGTAGCACCAGAATTTTAATGCTAATTGAGCAGGAACGTAATATGACTATGCAAATGATCAGAACCGACTGTCAATGGTTGTTAAATCTCAAACATGATATCGCGATGGTGTAATAGAAAGTGAAACCTTCCGTTTTCGGGTCAGTAAATGCAGTCAAATCCTATAAATCTCCCAAAGCACAGCAAGCGCACAAGGACCTGCTGGCAAGCCTCCATCACGATATTGGTTTTGCGGTGCATGGCATTTTGTGGAATTATTCCCGTTCAGTAATCATCAGTGCCACCATTGTTATCGCGTTGGTCATAAAAAAGGTCACTACACAACAAATAAACGCCGACCAAAATGTCTTGGCGGAATTGTGAAGCGACCTTCAGAGTCAAATCACGAGCACTTTTGAGACTTTTAAAAATGGATTTCAAAGTAAATGGAAGTACATAAATCTATTATTGAATAGGAAACCTGTTTGTCTTTAGTTAGATCTGGCTTCCGACATTACATTCATTTCCAAAAACAAATAGCGTATGTTAGGCCGTTCATTGATTCAACTAACCAAACATTTTCCCTGAAATGCCTCAGGAGATGTAATGAGGCTAACACGAAAAGTCTTGTTTGAGATTCACTTCAAAAAACATAAGTTGGATAACGTTTGTTACCTAAAGAATCGGTAAGATTTAGATCTATTAGGTTTAGATTGGATCGAGAAGAGTGATATGAATGCAAATCAACTAACCCCAATGTAATATGTTCTCATAATGATTTCAAATCAAATGTTCCCATTAAAACGTGCCCTCATAAGATTTCATAATCTCAAGCATTGTGTCTCAATAGTATTTCCACACCAAAATCCTCTGTTTCCTACCAAATGCCGACATTTCACATCATCATTGCATAGCTTACCAACATCATTCGTTCATAAATGCCTCACGCTCAATATGATAAAACTCCATAAAACTAATTCAAGAAAGTGATTTATAAATTTACTTGCTCATGTAGAGCACGTTATATAGGCCGCACAAAGCGATCGCTTTCCAAACGTATCTCTGAACACTATCCAGCTTGGCTCCTAAAAGGTGAATGTAAGAAGATAACCAGTTCGATACAAGAGCACTTGATCAATTGCGGACACATTGCTCCAAAAGAGACGTCTTTTAAAATAATCTATAGAGTTAAAGAAACGGGATCAAAGGGAGGTCGAATCAATATTTTATGCACTGCTGAGGCATTGGCAATCCATGAATTCAAGCCTGAACTTTGCGTGCAGAAACGATTTGTCCAACCTCTTACCCTTCCTTGGCCCTAATTCCCTCATTGGGTACGTTTTTTGTACTTTTATCTGATTATTATCGGTTTTTTGTTTTTTAAATTACTACTTTACATTTAATCTCTAATCAGTTATTTTTATTATTACCTTATACAAGTTTTCTTGATTATTACTCAGATTATTATGACCTTTGTGTTTGTCACTTTTCTTCATATCTGTCAATTGAACTATTATCTGACCCATAAATTATTTTCTCCCTTATCCCTTGATTAGTACGTCACCTCATTTGTTATTTATTGTCGAATCCATTTATAATGCAATAACTTCTAGCCTCCTATAGACATATATTTTCCATATTACTATATATACGAATGTACAGCTTAAGTAAATGATTTCGTCGAAAAGAAAATTTTCTTCGCTGAATTCTCTTTTTCTTATTCAATGACATTATGAGTTATTTTAGTTATCTAAAGTGATTAGATCTTAATACAACTGTTACTATTACCATTATTACCTCAATTAACAAGATGAGATTCTCTTACTATGCAATTTATTCACAATATAATTTTTTTTCATTTTGTTATTTAACTATTATACTGATTGTGACTGGACACTTTAATCCAAATCATTTTGACCTTTATTAAATGACCTTTCTCATTTACAAATTACACAATTTTGAAATATGCATGTTGTAACAGATACAAACGTTCATCATTTTTAACATACAGCATTGTCGAATTCATTAGTGTATGCCTTATTTTGGCCTTTGTAAAATATTACAATAACTA